TATAGTGTGCAGCCTTCCTATCTCTTCTGTTTTAATCACCTATCTTAAAATGTTGCATGCTTTCTTAAAATCACTGGATGTTGTCCAGCCTGTGCAATTACTAAGGCTGGGAACCTAAGATAAACAACAGGCTGTAATCAGGGAATTTTAAACACAGTGGTGTACAGTTACGCTACATTCTCTTACCTTTACAGAGAACAAGAATTCCAGTCATAGAATCAGAGAAGATTAGGGTTGGAAGAGACCTCAGGAAGTCATCTAGTCCAACCCCCGGCTCAAAGCAAGACCAACACCAACTAAATCATCCCAGCCAGGGTTTTGTCAAGCCGGGCCTTAGGATGGCTTGACAAAGGAATCTCTAAGGATGGAGATTCCACCACCTCCCTAGGTAACCCATTCCAGTGCTTCACCACCCTCCTAGTGAAATAGTTTTTCCTAATATCCAACCTAAACCTCCCCCACTGCAACTTGAGACCATTGCTCCTTGTTCTGTCATCTGCCACCACTGAGAACAGCCAAGCTCCATCCTCTTTGGAACCCCCTCCTTCAGGTAGTTGAAGGCTGCTATCAAATCCCCCTCACTCTTCTCTTCTGCAGACTAAACAAGCCCAGTTCCCTCAGCCTCTCCTCATAAGTCATATGACCCAGCCCCTGGATCATTTTCATTGCCCTCCGCTGGACTCTCTCCAATTTGTCCACATCCCTTCTGTAGTGGGGGGCCCAAAAATGGACACAGTACTCCAGATGTGGCATCACCAGTGCCGAATAGAGGGGAATAATCACTTCCTTCGATCTGCTGTCAAAGCTCCTACTAATTCAGCCCAATATGCCATTAGCCATCTTGGCAACAAGGGCAGACTGCTGACTCATATCCAGCTTCTCATCCACTGTAATCCCAAGGTCCTTTTCTGAAGAACTGCTGCTTAGCCAGTCAGTCCCCAGCCTGTAGCGGTGCATGGGATTCTTCCATCCTAAGTGCAGGACTCTGCACTTGTCCTTGTTGAACCTTATCAGATTTCTTTTGGCCCAATCCTCCAATTTGTCTAGGTCATTCTGGACCCAATCCCTACCCTCCAGCATATTTACTTCTCCCCCCACAGTTTAGTGTCATCTGCAAACTTGCTGAGGGTGCAATCCATCCCATCATCCAGATCATTAATAAAGATGGTGGGGAGGGATAGCTCAGTGGTTTGAGCATTGGCCTGCTAAACCCAGTGTTGTGAGTGCAACCCTTGAGGGGGCCATTTAGGGATCTGGGGCAAAAATCTGTCTGGGGATTGGTCCTGCTTCAAGCAGGAGGTTGGACTAGATGACCTCCTGAGGTCCTTTTCAACCCTGATATTCTATGTTGAACAAAACCAGCCCCAGGACTGACCCCTCAGGCACTCTGCTTGATACCAGCTGCCAACTAAACATCAAGCCATTGATCACTACCCATGGAGCCCAACAATCTAGCCAGATTTCTATCCACCTTATCCAATCCATATCCATATTTTAACTTGCTGGCAAGAATACTGTGGGAGACCATACCAAAAGCTTTGCTAAAGTCAAGATATATCATGTCCACCATTTCCCCCATATCCACAGAGCCCGTTATTTCATCATAGAAGGCAATCAGGTTGGTCAGGCATGACTTGCCCTTGGTGAATCCGTGTTGACTGTTCCCAATCACCTTCCTCTCCTCCAAGTGCTTCAAAATGATTTCCTTGAGGACCTTCTCCGTGATTTTTCCAGGGACTGAGGTGAGGCTGACCGGTCTGTAGTTCCCCAGTTTCTCCTTCTTCCCTTTTTTAAAGATGGGCACTATATTTGCCTTTTTCCAATCATCCAGGACCTCCCCCAATCGGATGAGTTTTCAAAGATAATGGCCAAAGGCTCTGCAATCACATCAGCCAATTTCCTCAGCATCCTTGGATGCATTAGATCTGGATCCATGGACTTGTGCATGTCCAGCTTTTCTAAATAGTCCTTAATCTGTTCTTTCACCACTGAGGGCTGTTCATCTCCTCCCCATACTGTGTTGCCCAGGACGGCCGTGTGGGAGCTGAACTTGTCTGTGAAGACCGAGGCAAACAAAGCATTGAGTACTTCAGCTTTTTCCACATCATCTGTCACTAGGTTGCCTCCCCCATTCATTAAGGGTCCCACACTTTCCCTGACCTTTTCTTGTTGCTAACATACCTGTAGAAACCCTTCGTTACCCTTCACATCCCTTGCTAGCTGCAACTCCAGTTGTGGTTTGGCCTTCCTGATTACACCCCTGGCATGCTCAAGCAGTATTTTTATACTCCTCCCTAGTCATCTGTCCTTTTTGTGTTTAAGCTCACCGAAGATTTCACTGTTAAGCCAAGCTGGCCGCCTGCCATATTTGCTATTCTTTCTGCACATTGGGATGGTTTGTTCTTGCGCCCTCAATAAGGCTTCTTTAAAATACAGTCAGCTCTCCTCGACTCCTTTCCCCCTCATATTAGCCTCCCAGGGGATCGTGCCCATCAGTTCCCTATGGGAGTCAAAGTCTGCTTTTCTGAAGTCCAGGGTCTGTATTTTGCTGCTCTCCTTTCTTCCTTTTGCCAGGATCCTGAACTCGACAATCTCATGGTCACTGCTGCCCAGGTTCCCACCCACTTCTACTTCCCCTACCAATTCGTCCCTGTTTGTAAGCAGCAGGTCAAGAGGAGAATGGCCCCTGGTTGGTTCCTCCAGTAGTTGCACCAGGAAGTTGTCCCCAACACTCTCCAAAAACTTCCTCGATTGTCTCTGCACTGCTGTATTGCTCTCCCAGCAGATGTCACGGTGATTGAAGTCCCCCATTAGAGCCAGGGCCTGTGTTCTGGAAACTTCAGTTAATTGTCCAAAGAAAGCCTCACCTACTTCATCCTCCTGGTCTGGTGGTCTATAACAGACACCCACCATGACATCACCCTTGTTGCTCTCGCCTCTAAACTTAACCCAAAGACTCTCAACAAGCCTTTCTGCAGTTTCATACTGGAGCTCTGAGCAATCATACTGCTCTCTTACATACAGTGCTACTCCTCCACCTTTCCTCCCCTGCCTGTCCTTCCTGAACAGTTTATATCCATCCATGACAGTGCTCCAGTCATATGAACTGCCCCACCAAGTCTCTGTTATTCCAGTCACATCACAGTTATTTGACTGTGCCAGGACTTCCAATTCTTCCTGCTTGTTTCCCAGGCTTCTGGCATTCATGTACATGCACCTAAGATAACTAGCCGATTGCCCTGCTTTCTCAGTATGAATCAGGAGGCCCGCCCCCATTGCAACCTCCTCCCGGTATTTTCTCCCGGTATCCCACTTCCCCACTTACCTCAGGGCTTAGGTCACCATCTTGACAATGCTCCCTTGGTTAAGAGCTTCTAAGTAGGTAGTGGCATAGTTGGTTCTAAATGTGGCTTGTGTTCCACATTCAACATGTTTGATATAGTTAATAACCATAGCAGGTCATGATGTATCATGAGTGTCAGTGGCCTAGGCTGTCACACGGTGATCGTGTAGCTAGCTAACTATCATTATTTTGCTGTATAGAAAAGACGTCCCAATTGGGTTGGCTGTTACCTAACTCTTTTCTCAGGACGGTATCCCAGAAAGTATCCCCATATTTGCTGCTGTCTGGGCACTCTATCCCCTGCTAAGGCATGGTGCAGATAGTGATCTATCTTTTTAGAGAATGCACTGATTGTAAACAAGCCTAGGTTGCAAGGCTAGCACTCTTCCTCTCCCCAAAAAACATAGCAGCTTTCTCACAACACAGACACATGGACTTAACTGGATCAGATGAATGTCATGAACTGGTTACAAAACAGTAATGTAGACTGGGTCTCAGAACATGACAAAGTATGGATTTAATAAAGTAAGCTGCTCACAGTCACTTTAATTAGAAATCATACTGCAGCTAAAAAGGGCTTTCACATCACTGCCTTTCACATGCAAATTAGTAAACATTCCAAGCATTAAAAACTTATTCCTGGGAGGCTCTCTAGGGTGGGAGTCTCTACTAGGAAGGGATGTCCCTAGAGTTCTCAAACCCTTTGTAGTTTGGGGTGCATTCTGCACTGCTACTGATTCAGGCTTTGTCCCCCAATTAAGGCTATCTTCTGCACACAAGAAGTAGTTGCTTGGTGGGGGTGAGGAAGGGAGGAGAGACTCTTCCCTTACTCCTCTCTTCCTCTTTCCTTAAAAGCAGAAGAGAGAGACCTTGAAGGAAGGAAGCTGAGCTGCTCAGGAGCAGATGCCTCTTGGGATGGGAGAGTAGCTAAGACCATCACATTTGTCACAGGGCAGAGGAAGGAGGAGAGCAGGCCTTGAGCAGCTGCACTCCTGGTAAGCTGGCACACTTTGCATCCTTCAAACAACCATTGTCCTACAAACAATGGCTTATTGGAGGGAAAGAGAAGAGAAGCTGCTGCTGCTCCCACTGAAAGCCTTTTCGGTTCCAGAAGAGCAGGTAAGGCAGCAGAGTCCTATTAGGGTTGGCCTAAACTAGTTAAACTTGGGGAAGAGGAAAGCAGCATCAGGATTCATTGAATATGTCAGATTGCATGAGTATGGACTATTTCCCACCTCCCGCACCATGCCCCAGGGGAAGCTAGTTACAGATGGCAAAACTGGTTTAGTTGATTCACACAGGGAGAAACATCCTTTTAGAAGTAGGTTTTACAGTTAGAAACCATTATGCTCTGTCAACTAGAGTGCAACAAAACTCAGGTGTTCCATCTGCTGGTCATTTGTCATGTATTGGTAAGTTTGAAGATTAAGAGGTAGGGATGTCCCTTTCCATTATTTATCGGAGGGAAGTGAAGGGGAACTACTTAAAGAAGGGATCCTATATCTGAGTTGGTCGTAAAATCAGAAGATGTCAACCTAGAGATCAAATATCTAATCACCCTTTTGGTAACAACTGCACACACCAAGAAATGTCTAGATGCCAAGCGCACTTTTTGGCATTGTATAAATAAAAATAATACAGTACATATACCAAGGGGTAAAATGCCATTAAAAGAAATTAGTCTTTTATTTGAATTTCTAAGTGCGAAAATTACATACAAGTCAATAGTTCAAGGTGTATCAAATCAGAATGGTATTTACTTAACTTGTGGCTATAGTCTGAAAGGTGACCAAAAATAGAGCTTCATGGGATTCCATGATTCTCTCATGCCTACCTAGCTAGCCTCTTATAAGGCACTATACTATCTGAGCATGTATCTATACACAGTGAGCCTGAAAAATGAAATCCAGCTTGTAAACTAAGCAGATGCTAGCACTGCAGACTGCAGTGGGATGTGGAAGTCAGACGAGTTCTTGTTGGCTTGTGCATCATCAACCATAATCGAGTTCCAGTTGCAGTATTTTTAACTATTGTGTTGATGACTCTTCACCTCAACTAGAATTCAGCTCACTCAAGAGTCAGATATCTATGACAATGTTTTAGAGGCATCTTATAAATGCCTAATCACCACATAAAGCTTGGATACTATTGTGATGGGCACAGTACAAGAATCTAGATGGATGGGCACTGAAAAGTGACTTAGCAGAGCTAACGAGTAAATCCCATTAAAATCTTTCTTTAGTTAAGCAACTATGTGCAACTCTGAATACAACAAAGGGGTTCTCTGAGTGATTGCACATGTCCATTCACTGTACGTGAGTGTGCGCCTCATGCACAGTTATTGGAGAACTTTTCCCCGCAGTGGTACCTGTTGGGGCAGCTCAAGTGCCCGCTACATCTGTGCATCACCATGTGCCAGTATAAGAGGGCGGAGCCGCCCCTGACCCCCTCAGTTCCTTCTTATCGCCAGTGATGGTTGTTGGAGCGCTTCCATCCAGTATTACGATGGCAAGTTTATTTTCCTCGCCCTTTTTGTATATAGTTTGTTTCTCATTTAGTACTTAGTAGTTAATTAGATATAGCGTAGCGTTAATATTAGGTTTTAGTTGTTTGGGTCCCTTTTGGACCAAGTCTGATTATTTGATACTGGGACTGGAGCTGTGTCTCGCTCGCTGGAGTTCAAGTCCTGCTGGTCGTGTGCCAGACCGATGCTGGTCTGTGACCCACATCCCAGCTGCCTAAGATGTCTGGGGGAGTCCCACATCAGTGACAAGTGTCACATTTGCAGATGATTTAAGCCTTGCTCAAAAAGAGACAGAACAGTGAGATTTGTCACCTTATGGAGGTGGCACTTTGCCCTCCCTGGGAGTCGTTGGGTTTAGAGCGCACTCCAAGTGCGGCACTATTGATGCAACGTGTGCTTCCTGAGAGGTCTTTGGCACCACATTCTGTCTCTGGTACTGAAGAGGAGACAGATCTGCCAAGGACACAGTACTTCGTCCAGCAAGATCTTCATAACAGAGGCCAGATAAAAGCAAGATCTCTGGGAGGGATTCTGAGGAGAAGCGTTCCCCACAGTACGCCTCTGCTGCAATAGGGGGTGTGTCTACTCCAGAACCTGTGCCATGTCTGCCAAGGCCAGCCCCTGAAGTTTCTATTTGTCAGACCCAATCCTGATACCAGCAATGCCAGAAGCATATACTGTCGCCAGAGAATTACTTAACCTCTCAATACCAATGTCCCTGGTGATGCAGGAAGGGTTCCAGCCAGTACCAGTGTCTGTAGTGCCTATGCCAGCTCCGCAAGAGCATGGATTACTGATGCTGCTCCTGGTGCCTCGGAGGCCAGTGCACTCCAGGGTCAAGCGGTTGTTAATATCCCCGGCACTGCTGTCTCTGGGTTCACTTACCTGTCTCCTGTCCACATGGGTTCTGCTCCTCCATTACCGTAGGACTCAGTCATCTTTGTTGGACTTGGAAGTGGAGTCTTTTGTGTCTCATACCAGACAAGAACTTTACCTTCCATCAGAGCCCTGGACGTCCCCGCAGCGGACATGTCACAAGGGACAATGGCATGCACAACCATGGGGCCCACCGTCACCAGGTCTGGCCACCGAGGGGTGTCCCTCCCTCTGCTAGGACCTTTCCTCACCTGAGTCTATTTCCTCAAGGATGCACCAAGATCACTGGCATCACAGGAAACTTTCTCTGATGCCTGGTACTGAGCAACTAGAAGTTGCTCAGGCAGTTCCTACACCGCAAGTGGCAAACCAGCCATTGCCTCAGCATCCTGGTGTGTCATTTCCTTATCACCTGATGAGGCTGTAGAGATGGTGAGCAATTCTCCATCACCAGGGCATTACAATACTCACCAAGAACGGCTTAAAAGGGTGGCCTTGGTTTTAGACATTCAAGTGGAATCGGTCTGTGACAAATCCCCCATGCTAGTGGATACTTTAGCTTCTGTGAGACCTGCCAGAGTGGTACTTCTGAGGTAATGAAGCAATTCTGGAACTGGTTAAAACACTTTCACAGACCCCTTCTTCCCTCCCGCCTACAGCGAAATATGCACAGAGGAGCTACTGTGTCCCTTCTAAGGGCTTCAAACCCCTCTACTCTCACACACCCCCAGGCCCTTTGGTGGTGGCAGCAGCTCATGAGCAGGAGAGTCAGGGTCACCAAGCATTGACGCCAAAGAGTAAGAAATCAGAGAGGCTGGACCTGTTTGGTCATAAACTTATTCAACAGAAGGTCTGCAGCCAAGAATTGTTAACCAGCTAGCCCTCCTAAATTGCTATGATTTTACCCTATGAGAAAACATCCTGAAGTTTAAAGACAGGCTACCAGAGGATTCCAGGCAGGTTCTCACTCATGGTAGAGGAGGGTAAGCGGGGGTGCAAGGACAGCTATTCACAACAGTTAGGATGCTGCAGACTCAGTAGCTTGTTCCATGACATCTGCTATTTCTAAGAGGAGAAGTTCATGGCTGCAATCTTCTGGTCTCCCTCCTGAAGTACAGCAGACCATCTAGGATTTGCCATTTGAGGGTCCATCCCTCTTTTCAGAAACGATGGACAATAGATGGCATAGCTTACAAGATTCCAGGGCAATACTGAAGTCCCTTGGAATTTATACACTGGCAATGAAGAGGAAGCAATTCTGGCCCCAGAAGGCTCACAGATATCAGAGCTTTATACCTCAGCCCCAAGACCTGCCAAAAAAAAAAGGGACAGGAATTATAGAAATTGACCACCGCCTCTCTCATCTGCGACAGCAGATTCCTCTCAACCAATGGCCCAGTCTAAACATGCATTTTTGACAGGCTTGTCAAAGGCAGCGTATCAATACTTACAGATGAATCTGTTCCTACCCTTACCTTGGCCTATTGTCTTTACGACTTCCTCTGTGCTTAGACTCATGTCACATCAGTTCGGTGGGTCCTAAGCATGGTGGATGTGGGATATTGACCTCAATTTGTTTCTATCCTCCCCCTTCTCCATCCCTCTTCAAGGACCACTCTCAGGAGACCGTTTTACAACAGGTTTAATCTCTCCTTCCAGTGGGTGCAGTAGAGGAAGTTCCTCTACTCCTCAGGGGGAACAGTTTTTATTCCTGCTATTTCCTTAATTCCCAAAACAAAAGGGGGTATTTTAGATCTAAGGGAGTTAAACAAGTACCTGAAGAAAATGAAGATCCCCATGGTTACCCTAGCTACCATCATTCCTTCCCTGAACAGGGCCACTGGTATGCTGCCCTTGACTTAAAAGACACTTACTTCCATATAGTGATCTGTCTAGACCACTGGAAGTTCATCATGTTCCTAGCAAATGAAACACATTACCAATTTACACTACTTCAATTTGGTCTGTCAGCAGCAGCCCCTTGAGTTTTCACAATGTGCAAGGTAAGGTAGTTGTATATCTGAGAGGATTGGGAATCCGTGCACTTCCCACCTGGATGATTGGTTGGTGACAGACTGGCTGAACTCTCAAGTGCTATCCAGTGTGGGTATCATTCAGTCCACCCTCAATGTACTGCGTCTATTACTCTGTCAAGTCAGATCAATTCTAAAAACCTGTGCAAAGAATAGTTTATCAGAGCACTCCTGGATGCTATACAAACCAGAGCATTTCTGCCCCCGTCAAGGTTCCAACTGCTCTGAGATCTGGTACTGGATCTAAAAGCACATCCCATTACTACAGTGCATGCTTGCCTCAGACTTCTGGGGAACATGGCAGCATGTACCCACATGACGTAACACACCTGATTATGCCTCAGGAAGCTTCAAGGATGCCCCCTGTTGTCATCGTCTAGACAGAGAAATTTGCATTGCAGAGGTAATTTTGTCCTCTCTGGACTGGTGGACAGACCCTCAGACTGTTTGTATGGGAGTGCCCTTCATTTCTCTGCAACCAACGCTTATGTGGGTCACGGATGCCTCGTCCCTGGGTTGGGGGGCACCTATCGGAACCCTACAAACTCAAGGGTAGTGGTCCTTGCAGGAGCTGAGGACTCATATTAATGTCAGGGAACTATGTGCTATCCATCTATCCTGCTCTGCCTTCTAGCCATATATTCTGGGAAAAAAATCTGTTAGTGTTAAAGGACAATATAGCAACTATGCTTTATGTAAACAGACAGGGAAGGGCATGTTCCTCCCAACTGTGCCAGAAGGATACCTCCCAGGAGAGCAGAACACATCAGTAGATCAGCTGAGCAGGTCTTTGTCCCCTCACCATGAATGGTCACTAGGTCCAGATGTGGCTAGGCTCATCTTCCAGCTCTGGGGAAACTTCTCACATGGACCTGTTTGCAACAAATGCCTCCTGTTCTGCTGCTGAGAGAATTCCAGACCTGGGTCTTTGACAGATGCTTTTCAGCTATCACGGATGAACTCACGGCTGTTTGCCTTTCCTCCGATTCCATTAGTACCCAGAGTCCTATTCAAGATCAAGCAGGAACATGCTTGCTTCATTCGAATGGCAGCAGCATGGCCTCGACAATGCTGGTTCTTGAAACCTTTTAGTGGGGCCTCCTACCTCCCCCATTAGATTCAGATGTGATTTTTTCAGACCACTGCAGTCTACTCAACCCCAACCTACAGGCCCTCCATTTAACTGCGTGGATACTTCCCGGCTAACACCACTAGAAAGGACTTGCTCAAAAGACATTCACAAGGTGCTTCTGAACAGGAGAAAGCCTTCAACTAGCCAAATGGAAACATTTTTCTACCTGGTCTCAACAGAGAAGTGTCTCTCCAGTGCAGGCTCCCATTAACCAGATTGGATTATCTGTTGCACCTAAAACAGCAAGGCCTGACTGTTAGTTCTACTGAAGTACATGTGGCAACGATTTCAGCGCTACTACCCACTGGAGGGTAGTAGATCACTTTTTCTCCCACCCCCACAACTATCAGATTTCTAAAACGGTTGGATAGATGATACCCTCTAGTACAAGAACCTGTTCCCCATGGGATTTAAACCTTGTGCTAACAATATTAACAAGGCCTTCCTTTGAACCTCTTGCCCCACGCTCCCTCCTCCACCTTTCTATGGCATCCTGGTTGGTTGCAATAACCTCAGTAAGGAGAGTGAGTGAACTGAGACCCTTGGTTTCAGAATCTCCTTTTACAGTTTTCCATAAGGATAAAGTTTACCTCTACCTTCACCCAAAATTCTTGACAAAGGTAGTTTCCAATTTCCATGTTAATCTGGCAATTTATTTATCAACATTTTTCCTGAAGCCTCACATGCACATAGATGAACAGAAGCTGCATTAGGTGGATGTGAGGAGAGCATTGTCCTTCTACGTGGATTGCACCAGCCCTTTTTAGATCCTCACAAAGTGATTTGTTGTGATGCTGGACATGGTGACAGGCAAACTGGTTTCCACTCAGAAGATTTCCTCTTGCATTTATTTGTGCTACCAGTTAGCATGTCACCCCCAGACTGTTGGCTCATTTGACTAGAGCACAGGCAGCTTTTCTAGCACAAGTACCTACTGAAGACCTTTGCAAAGCACCAACCAGGTCCTCGGTACAAACTTTTGCTGCTCATTATGCCATTTCCCATCAATCCAGGAACTATGCCAGTTTTTGACGGATTGTTCTACAATTGCTGTTCAGATAGACTCTGAGCCTGCCTCCATGTTAATCTGCTTGTGAGTCACGTACAGAGGAATTGGGGATTGGTCC